GGGTGCACCGAGGCGCAGCGGGATCCGGCTGCCGGGCTTTGCCCCGGCGCGGTGGGGGACGCGCAGTCTTTGGGATTTGGGGAGGGGGGCCCTGAGTCGCGAGCTACAGCCAAGCGCCGGTGGCGCTGGCCCCGCCACGGGGAGGCGCGGGGTTCGCGGCCGGCGGCTCTGCTCCCCAGAGCAGCGGCTGGGAAGGGCGGGGGCTCGACTGGAGCCGGGGACCGAGCCCTTGCTGCGCCCCCGAGAGGCAGTTTGCCCGCGGGGGGCTCCAGGCTGGGCAGATCGGTCCCAGCTCCTGCCCCACACCCGGGAATCGGAGGGTGAGGGGCGCGCGGCGAGGGCAGCGGGCCGGCCCGGGCGCCGCGCTCCCGTCCCCACCAGCCGCGTGAGTCACGGTTAGAGCGAGGTTTTATTTTTAAAACGACTTCAAGGGGGGCACTGGCAGCCTCCAACTTCCCTCCCAGTGCGCGCTGTGGACTGTCAGCCCCGAGCCGGTGGGGGACTGGGGCTGTACACCTGGCGGCTAGAACAGTGGGACTTAGGGGCTGGGGGCGCAGCGGGGTGCCTCTCCCCCCCAAGCTCTCAAGACCAGGAGACAACAGACCCGGCGCACGCCCCTCGGCGCGGGGAGGAGAGGCCCATGGGTGGAAGGCTGGGGAGCGTTGTTGCCCAGCTGCAGGGAACCGTAGCTGATCAGAGCTCTCCAAGGAGGAGAAAGTTGTGAAGCGGCGACATCAGGGAGCTGCCCCAGGCTTCCCGGTGGCCCCCGAGGGCTTCAAGGCTCTCTGGAGTGTGTGACTTTGAGAGAATACAGCCCAGCTGGGGTGTGCCAGGCCCAGGAGGCCCAAGACAGAGCTCTGATGTGAATAAATAAAGCCAAGGCAGAGGAGGTGGGGGAGGACTGGGTCCAAACCTGCCCCACCTTGGCCCCTGCACCCTCAGGGAGGATGGAGACCAGCCCCACCCACATCCCCTCCCCAGGAGGCTTAGTGGGTGGGAGGAGGCTGCCTGCTGGACCCTGGATGCTAGTGGTAGAGGTCTAGGAGCTGGGGCACCCTCTCCCTGCCCAGTGGCAGTGGGGGAGGCTGCCATGCTCAGGGGCCCAGGCTCAGGTTTCTGGAGTTGAAAGCCAACTGCGTTCCTTCCTGCCAGCCCCAGGAGGAGAGCGCAAACATCACCTGTCAGCTGGTGCTGGCTCCGTGGGCGACTGTTCAGGGCTTCCTCAGAAGGTTTTAAATGGAAATGGCCCAAGCTGCCAGGGCCAGTGCCTGGGAGGGGATGCTGCCCAGCTGGGTTGGCACTGAGGGTCCTGGGAGGTCTGAGGGGCAGGAACAGCTGAGGGGCTGTCACATCTGGTGGAAGGGTCAGCCAGCGCAGGTCTGAGAGCAAGCAGCTTGTATGTGCAGTGAATGGCGTGGAGGGGCTAGGTGTGCGCCCCACCCTGAGTTCCCACACGGAACCAATCACTCAAAAAATTCTCCCCCGCAGAGCTGAGGACAGGAAGGCCAGGCCTCGGCCCGCGTGCCCAGGGCAGTGTGTCCTGGGCTGACTTCACCCAGACCTGGGTCTGTGTGTCCATGCTCCACCACCTACTGGTTCCAAGTCCCTCCACTTCTCTGTGCCTCAGTTTCCCTTGGTAAACCCGGGCTGCTTGCACGCCACCTGGGCCCCCAATGGGGGTGGGGACTGCTGCATAAACTGCAGCTGCATTTGTTCCATTTCCTTAATGGTCCTGCTCTGGGGCCTGAGTCCGAGGGGTCCTCAAGGACTGAGGGGACCTGTAAAGACCTTGGAAGTTCGTGTGCTGTTGCTGGACTTCATTCAGTCTTACCCTGGCGCTACGCAGCAGTCCTTGCTGTGTCCCTGCTCTGGGGTCCTATGAGGCCTCCCAAGGAAGCCCCTGGGGGACCCGCCCAGCTTGTTTCCAAGGCCTTGGAGGGGAGGGGGTATGGCCACCCTATGTGTCACCTGCTGCCAAGGCTGCACAGAGGGGTGTTGGCCCAGAGGACTGTCATCCTCTGGGTCACCCAGGCCTGCAGCTTCCCCAAGGGCCACTGTGCCCCTGCCTCCGTGGGAGGACACGGCCACTGTCCTGCCCTCTGAGGAGGGGTGGGTGCCCTGGGCATGGGTGAGCAGGGAAGGACGGTGTACAGAAAACATGGGCAGATGGTGTGTGCACTCGGTTCAAAGTTAGCAAGAAAGGGACTGGAACCCCAGGTGGCCCTGGTATAGCAGGTGTCCAGGGACAGAGAGGCAGGCCTAGAGCTGGCTGACTGCCTGAAGAAGTCCAGTGTGGTGCTGTTGTCAAGAAGTGGCTACTCTGGTGCAGGGGGACAAGTCCCTGAGGCCAGCTGGGCACAGCCACCTCTGCAAGGTCAGGTGGGACTAGGCAGTGGGAGAGGCAGGGAGCATGGTGCTGGCAGGGCTGGCAGATGGCCCCACTTGGGAGTTGGGGACCCCCTGGCCACCCCTCTCTAGCCAACCACATTGCCCCAGAGTCAGGGCTGGAAATTGGCCTCATCTCAGCCATGGGGCCTATGAAGAAGACTTGTGGTTGGGTGGGTCCTCTTGCCCCAGGATCTGAAAATGATTGATCAGTTGTCATCCCAGTCGGTTGTGTTCCTGACACTCTGGGACACTGCCCCAAGGAAGGATTTCTCTGCCTGGCTGGCCTTCAGCAAGTGCCCAGACCTCCCTGGGCCTCAGTTTCCTCATCTGTAAAGTGGGGCACAGGAGGTGACTCATATAAGGTGTCCAGTACAGAGTTCATGCTTAGCCACAGGGGTCCCCTGTGGTCCTCCCCCAGGTCCACTC